AGATCTGCTTGAGTGTAACTTGCTTTATAACATTAAGTCTCTATTAATTATTATTTTGAGTCAAAAAATGTTTCCAGAGATTTACCACAGGGATTTTTTCTTGGCTTTCTCCTGCATTATATTCTACTCTATGCTTGCAATAGTAAAATCATTGGAATCACCATAATTCCTGAATCTCCAATTAAATTCCAATTAATCAGGTTCGGACAGAAATGGCATGTGATCGCATGTTGTAACTAACCATGCTTATAATTTTTTTTCTACAATTTGACCATGGCAGTTTTAATATTTTAAAATTTTTAAGTTACTTTAAATTATGAATAAGTTGAATTAAATCCTCCGTTGCAACGGAATGATTTAATTGCTTTATTTTTTTTTTGTTTTTATTTTTACAAAGAATTGTTTAAACTTTTTTTTTTTAACTTGACTAACTAACGAGTTAGTTAGTCAAGTTAAAAAAAAAAATTACTATTTTAAATAGGCTACTGTATTTTTTTAAACAATTTTTTTTAACAACTTTTTGAGAAAAAAAAAATGTTTATACAATTTAAAAATATGTGTAACACTTTTTAGTAATTTGAATAAAATTTGTTCATTCATTAATTTTCGTTTCGAGTTTGAGTTTTTTTAGTTTTAATTTAGTGCTTATATGTTTTCGTTTTCTAAAAGAATTGTTTTCTTTTTTCATTTTTTTTTTTTAAATTTTCTTCCTAGTTTAGCCAGAGTTTTTTTTTTTTTTTTTTTTTTTTTATCGCGTTTCTAAAATGTTTAAAATCATTTAATTGTCTAAACAGTCGTGGTCAAGTTGTCAAAAAAAAAATCACGTGGTCAGCAAATAGTGCTTGATCTCATGTCATTCCTGTCCTATCCTGATTAGTTAAATTGCAGTTAAGTGGTCATTAGTGGCTGACATTCTTTAACCTAATCAAATGCAAAGTGCTGCACTCAAATAATTATTTAAACTTGGACTTTGCATCTTAGTCAAGATATTGCAAAGCTAGAGCAAGTACAAAATCTTAAGTACACCTCCCTTATTTACAATTTCACTCCCTTATTATCCATGTTTGGTACACCTCCTATATCTTAACTATATTTCTATATCTTAACAACAATCTTGCCAGCATTAGTTTTGAAATAAAGCAAATCACTTTTCATGGTACTAGTTTCCATTTTAGGATTTGTTTTCACAAACCTGAATAGTTTTAACACTGTATTAAAGAGAATATTGAGTTTCTGATGAGTTGACTAACTGAGTTGCTTAGTTACTAACTTCACTGAGTTGCTGATAAGTTAACACCTACTCAGCTGTAACAGCCATTACATTAAATAAAGGGTAATTCCATGTCAATTGAGCCAGAAAATTTCAAAAATGTCACCATACATCTCAGATTTTGCTGATTTTTATACAGTTGAGAGTACTTAGTAAAACAAAAAATCCTTGAAAATTTTAAAGTGTGACCTTTGTTTAAAGGTTCCAAGTCACATAGCTTTAAAAATATTTGATCTTTTAACTTAACAATTTGTACCTGGCTATTTTCAGGGTCGAAGAATCCAATATAATAATCAGAAATGTAAAAAAAAAAATTTAAGTACTTGTAATTATCAATTTAAATAAATTTAGGCAATTTTTTATATACCTGGTTTTGATGCTCAAGAAAGCCATGTGGCCTTGATGATATAAAAAAAAAAATTGTACACATTATTCTATGTTTAATGATCTTTCAGAAAACATAAAAATTTTGATCTGCAAGTATATGGATTTCCATATATGGTTAACGGGGCACAGACCCCACTATTAGCAGAATCTTGCCATACATTTTTCACTACCTTTCAGACTAGCTGGAACGATGAAAATTTTGGTATTTATGTAGTGTCAATAAATGTGCATTTTAAAATTAAAAAAGGGCCCAAGACACTAGGGGAGGGGGCTGGGGGGATGTGCCCCACTTTTTTGACTGGAATTTTGAGATGGATTTTTCAGTATCTTCCAGACAAGCGTGAGCTTTGAAACTTTCAGCATTTGTGTAGTCCTGATGAACATGCTTTTAAATAGTTTCAGGTCAGACGACTAGAAGGTCCATGGGGCTGGGGCACCAGGGACCATGCCCCATTTATTTTCTCAAAAAAAAAAATTTTTTTTTTTGTCTTAAATTTAAGATAACTTTGAAAATATTGTATTTAAATATTTTATTGCTTTATGTTTGTTCCGTTTTACTTCATTATTTACAAAATAAAATACAAAAAAAAAGAAATTGTCAAGATAATGCTAAGATTAGCTTAGATGCATTGACGGTCAAAGTATACAAACGTCCATTTGTTGTTACAGGTGCATCAATTATACAAGTTATGTTGGTAATCGGAACCCAACACTCATCTACTCTAGATGGCCAGAAAAGTTTATTAAAAGGACCGTGCGGGTGCATAAATGTTACCATAACATCTTGCTCTATATTATCAATTTCATTGATCATACCAATCCAATCAAACGCATCATATTTAC